CCCTGCGCAGCCGCCTGCAGAACTGAGTCACTGATCGGTTTGCACACCATGTAGGGTTCGTATGCATTATTGCCACTGCTATACCTGGTGATGAACCCCTGCACGAATTCGAAAGTGCAAAACAATAATTAAAAAACGGTTCTGCTGCTCGACCAGTTTTCTCCTACACCCATGCAAAAATTCTATTTTAATCAATAGCAATTGCGGCTAAGACGAAACATGGATTCATTTCTGTCCGATGCAAAAATACAAAAGACGCAGTGGAAAAGTGATAAAAAGATAGAGTTTAGGATTGTATCTACTGGCAGGGTTGAAAACACGATCCAGTTGTTCATGGACCTTAACGTTCTACCGTTGGAAACATGATCGCAGACTTTGCCAGCTGCTTTAAAATACACAGATGTGTTGAGAAGAAAACGACTCCATCGCTGGGACAACACTTTTATCCGCCTGACGTTTCGACATCTGTCAAGGAGTCATCATCGGAAACATTAACAGAAAACGGTAACAGAAACGGGTAATGCATGCAGTACTGCAAACTCCCGTGCATTTATTACCCGTTTCTGCTAGCGTTTTCTGCTAATGTATCTGATGATGAATCCCTGACGGATGTCGAAACCTCAGGCGAATAAAAGTATTGTTCCAGCGCTCGAGTCTCCTTTTTCTTAATTTCTTCCTAGGACTCGCATATTCGCTTGTATTGGCAACACAGATCTATCCTGAGAAGACTGAAAGCGGGCTTTCTGTTGTCGCCAAGACAAAACGCCGTATTTTATCCAACCACCAGATCAGATAAACGAAAGCCGGTGCTCTTGCGATGTGAAAAAAACGTATCTCTCTGTTAAAGCATACCTGCGTTCGGGTGTGGGCACGACTCTGACGCGGATGGGCAACTTCAATTCTGTCGAAAATTTTCTTGACGGTTTTACCTACAAGGATCAAGAATGAGCGTTTGAGAAAAGAGGCGAAAATATGATGAAAAAACTAAAATAGGACATTTTAGTTAGAAGAAAGAAAAAAATTCGTCAGATAGATGAATAAATAGCCTATCGAAGGCGGCAGTAGAGGTAAGCCCGTGGGCACAGGGATGGACTTCGATTACACTAACCATCCAATAGATTCCGCCCGTGGACCCCCACCTACTCAGTGTGTAAGCGCGCATGTTTGTCAGCGCCATCATTGGTCAAATGAAAGTAGCATAATCCCAAAATAGCACTGCCTCAAATACGACAGTTCGACTGTCGATTTGATTATGTCCACAGTATACTCTACGGCAAGACGAAACAGGGACGGTGACA